CTACTAACTTTCGTTGTAAGCATATTATCTCCATGTTACTCTCTACTCTCTGAGCATCTCCAACACCTTCCCCATTTTATTGGTATTTTTATTTTTGAAGAATTTTGGGTTTTTTTTGGTCCAATAGATTCCCCATCACATTTCTCAAAATAGGGATGGAGGAGAAAAAAAATGGGAGCATTCCCCAAATCTGCAACATTCTTTAAATTTTTGGGGAGAGCTTTGTCATAAATGTTTCACGTTCTTCAAGTCTCCAACTACTCAAAAAACGACTCAACACTATTTCTTCAAGTCTCCAACTACTCAAAAAACGACTCAACACTATAAAATGAGGGGGCAAAAAACAAAAAGTTCATGTCTAAATCTTTATTGTTAAAGTTCATGTCAAAGATGTAGAATATTTTTATTATTATTGTAATAAATTTAGGATTTTTCAAAATGAGGAAGCTGTTAGAGTTGGAGCAAAAATAATTTGAAGAATATGACTATTGCTTCCCTATTTTGGAGAATTTTTTAGGGAAGCTGTTGGAGATGACTTTAGCGGATGTATCTTCAAGGAAGAGTTGTGTCACGTGACACCACATCCTCCAATATATTGGTAGAGGTTCACTCGATGAGTGGCAAGCATTAACACATTTCCTCCTACAACATTAATCTTACGTACCAAGATATCAAATTTTCTCTAATATTAAAAGAGGACAACTCTTTGATTGAAAATGAAGGGTACGTATTTGTTTTGAAAATATAAAAAAGAGCAAGTGCAACAAGAAATTAACAATCTAATTTAGTTTTGTATTTGTAATTAAATCAAAAGTGATTGTTTGATAAAAATGCATTCTAGTTTCTTAGAATAAACAAAAAGTAGAGGGACTTTGTTAAAAATAAAAATTCATGGTAGTTCATTGAAGGATAATTGGTAGTGTTACTAATGATGTGACGATTGGTACTATTAATTATATGGTGACACCTGAAATTACTCTAGAAGGGGGTTTGAATAGGGTATTTGCTAATCTAATCCGATTTAATACCAATTTGAAAACTTATTAATAATTATATCCTAGCAAGATTGATATTAAATAAAATATGAGCAAGGATGTGTAATTAAACAAGTGTGAAATAAACATGAACAAATATACAAATGAGATAGTGATAAATGATAATCGCAAACACACAATGTGATCACGGAGTTCGGTCACTCCCGACCTACGTCTTCGCTCCTCATTCACGAGGAGAATCTCCACTATCACAAACTGTTTTCAATGTTCACCAAAAATGTTTACAAGTCACACAATCGGTTTTCTAGCTAACCGAAAACTTTTACAACTCACACAATTGTAATCACACAATACACCCTCTAAGTGTTGGCCTAGCCCGTGTCGACTTTCTCAAATGCTCGGATTTACTACCTCTCCCTAGGCTTTACTACCGATGTCACGCCTCTTAGAATCGATCTCGTCTCTCACCACACACTCCTCTTGGTGTACTTGTGTATTATAATGTGTTCTCACAAATTAAGCTCAAGTATAAATGATTTTGTTCTCTAATAATATGAGAACTCAATTAAACTCACACTCAATGTATCACTCACCACAACCCCCTATTAAGCTTGTAGCATCTCATACTTTATATAATTAGGTTGTGGTGAGTGATATATTTGAGTGTGAGCTTAATTGAGTTCTCATCTTGTTAGAGAACAAAAACTTTATATTTGTGAGACTATATGTTGAGATCCATTGTAATACACAAGTGCATCGAGAGAAGTGGTTGGTGAGAGACGTGGTCAATTCCAAGAGGAGTGGCGTCAGTTGTAAAGCCTAGGGAGAGGTTGTAAATCCAAACACTTGAAGAATACGACACGTGAGAGGCCAACATTTAGAGAGTGTGTTGTGTGATTACATTGTGAGTGTTATAAACGTTTATCGGTGAGCGTTGAAAACCGATTGTGTAGTTATCTTTTGAGATAGTAGAGATTATCCTCGAGGGTGAGGAGAGGAGATGTAGGTCGTAGGTCGACCGAACTTCGTGATGATTTGCTTGTGTTTGTGTTTGGTATTAGCGCACTTATTATTGTCTCATTTTTTTATTTCGCCTATTGTCATATTGTTTATTCTTGCATATCCTTGCATATATCCATTATATATATCTCATTGCTAGGATATTTGTTAATTAGTTTTAATTTGGCTTCACAATCGGATTAGATTAACAAATACCCTATTCATCACCCTCTAGGGTAATTTCACATGCCTCGATAGCATTCATGACTCATCGAACCATGCGAGCTCTGCTACGCTGCCAGTCACTTCTCATTTAATACCGAAGTTATCTTTCCTCCAGTCACCAGTCGACACCTGTAAAGCAGAGGTTGACTCTGCTGACAGCCTACATTTCGCCACCGCCCTCATGTGCTCGGTCGAAGTGACTAATCTACTCTTATACCCATGTATAAATACATGTACCGTTTCAGACCGAATTCTGGATTCTGATCCACATTCTCTAATCAGCAAAATCATACTGCACAACAATAACTCACTCAGTTTTTCTTTTCCCCACTCAAGTTCATCAGCTAATTTGAGCGTTGGAGGAACCACGGGAGAACCAATCCCTACCCTCTTACGTGTTTCTACATGTGCAGATCTTTTGACCACCCAATTCAAGAACTGGACATAAAGTCAGGGAAGAAAACGATCACTCATCAATCCTCAACAACCTCATCCAATCCTAGATGTAACTGACTGTGTGATCATATAAACCATCAACAATATCCATATAAAAAATAGAGTATATATAAAAATTAGAAAAGAAGAAGCAATAGTTTAAAAAAATTCCTTCAATTCTATTTAGAAACACATACATGTGATTAAAAAACCCATGTAGAAAAGAAAAAAAAAGACCCCAAGCCTTCTAAGCTAATGATGCGGGTTCAGTTCCCACTATCCACTCCGTATAACTTATTTTACATGTAAGACTCACATGTGCGAGCGCAAGCAAAATAATTGTATACTGTATCTTAAAACAATCAGTTAGTTGCTACTTAGCAACTTCTTAGAGTTCCAATTTAATTTGTTGGCAATTTAAATAAACAAATAGACAAATAACATGACAATTAACAGTGGTAGTATAAAGATGCATTCATAAACAATTATATTCTAAATTCCTATATATCAAATATTTATTCATTTTTCACAATATGTTTTCTTCTCCTCTTGTTGATTTAATTATTCCAAATTAGTAAATTTGTAATTATTACTGTAATAATTTGAATGTTTTACAGTATAATCTTTCGAGTGAAATTAATACTCAAGTGTCATCATATCTATACACATAAAGCATATCCCATGTGTAAATTCAATAATGTTTTTGCTTGTCCTTTCTTATGTTGATTTGGCACTATAGAGATTAATTTTAATATGATAATTTTTTGGTGGAACAATTTTTCAAAACAACCTTATTTTATTTTTTTATTTTTAAAATCGATCCAATTTTTTATTTATCAAAACCGACCAATTTTTTACCACGTCAGCCTAATCAACCTCCTAAACAGTCGGGTTTAAGGCTTCTAATTGGGGTTTAACACCCTCCTAAATAGTCGGGGTTGACAACCCCGACTGTTTAGGAGGGTGATTAGGCTGACGTGGTAAAAAACGAGTCGGTTTTGGTAAATAAAAAAAGTGGGTCGATTAAAAAAAAAAGAAATGGAGCTGTTTTGAAAAATTGTTCTTTTTTGGTGTGATTAATTTTTGGTTTGGATTCTATATCAGTTTTGAGAGAGAGTTAAGAGTCCATAATTGTCTTTGACCATATATTCACATGTTTTCCTATTCTATATCAGTTTTGAGTAGAGCTTTCTTTTTGTGTTCCTTTTTTTAACTTTCCAGTAAAACCAAAAAAAAAGATAAAAGAAAAGAAAACGCTATTAGTTAAATTAATAACTTTTAATATTCGTTAAATATAAATAATGTAGTGAGCCAGGCCTGATCCTGCCCGTGATATATGCAGGTCATGGGCCGGGATGGGTCCAATTCCAGACCCGGGACTAGAGAAATAGGTCTGACCCACCATTGACCCGGCCTGGCCCAGCCCGGTCCGACCTAAAATTTTAATCTTTTAGTTTTTAGTATTTAGTTTTTAGTTAATATTTTTTTTTTTCATTTTTTCTCTTGTATTTATAATTTAAATTTAAACTAAAGAAAAATTATTAACTTCCCGTTGACGTATGTCTTCCTTTGAGGTCGGAACAACCTATATCTTTGTGTTTGCGATGTTATTCTGTGTAATATTTATCTTTGTATAATGTATGTGTATATATCACTTAAATAAAGAAAAATAGAAAAAAATTTAAAAAAAAATTAATAGATAATAATACAAAGTTACTATAGTTTAAAAGTTAAGAATAAAAATATTTTAAAAAAAAGTTAAATAAGCTATAAGTTAACCCACAACTCGCAGGCCATGGGTCGGACCCGATCCGATCCGTTTCTAGACGGATCGTGGACCGGACCGAGATTAGAAATATAGGTTCGCGGCCCACTCTGGCGCAGCAGCTGATGGGCGTCAACTGGCTGCCGCGCCCACGCCCACCCCTAGACCTCCGACAGCACCAAAACACAAATATAAGCGCAGGGCATGCAGGTTTTACCAAAGAACGGAAAAGGCTCTCCCTTTCCACCTCTCATGCAAGGTCATTGTCGCCTAGGGTTTCAAAAAGCCCAAATCCCATGGAGGACCTCCAAGCGAAAAAGAGGGCGAAAACACAACAAAAAACCGATGCCGAGGCCTCGCCGGCCACCTACCAGCCCGCATCCCCCCTTCTCCAACTCCTCCCTAGACGATCCAGAGCCGCCCTCACGCCCGTCTCCCCGCCGTATTCCGCGGGCCGCCCGAGCAAAATCCCACGCCACCACCGACCTACGATAATCAAAATCATCGGAAGAGCGAACACGAAAGCAATGCCGGGACGCAGCCAGTTGTGAAAGGTCATTGTCGTCCAGTCATCAAATTCCATGGCCATGGAGATTGCGTGGTGGCGGCTTGGAGAGACAACCGCCGCCGAAATTGGGAGGCAGGTGGCCAAGGCCGTGCCTTCGATGGACGCTGTTGTGAAGGTGTTTTGCGTTCACACGGAGCCCAATTTCTCGCTGCCGTGGCAGAGGAAGAGGCAGTATAGTTCGAGTAGTAGTGGGTTTATTATTGGGGGGAGGAGAGTGTTGACGAACGCGCATTCCGTGGAGCATTTTACGCAGGTGAAGCTCAAGAAGAGGGGGTCGGATACCAAGTATTTGGCTACTGTGCTGGCGATTGGGACCGAGTGTGACATTGGTACGAGGATATTTTCCCCTAATGTTCACTCCTTTTTTAACGTATTTATTGATGTTTGTTCGTTTAGTATATGCCCATCAAGATGAGTATTTGTAGTGTGATGAAACTAGAGATATTGTTGTTGACTTAAATGTTTGTGAGTAGATTTAGGGTTTATTTTCAAGAAGGTAGTTTTTTGAGAAATGTAGAACCGGGGACGAAGTTAAAAGAGGGTTTGAAACTGTGCACTGATTTATATGATTATATCTCAACGGACTTGAACTAGGCAGTAAGTGTGCGTGGAATTTGTGTTATGGTCATTTATGAGAACTACGAAGACAAGTAGATTCAGAGGTGGCCTGTTAAAGCTAGTATGAGTAGCTTTGGCAATATATAATCCTTTGTACTGTTTCACAATTCCGCACATGTTTACAGGTTGTCTTGAAGGGGATCGGTTTTAATACGGGTTATATTTGGAAATATATCTCCTTTGCATTATGCATCATTGAATTTCTTGAAGTTTGGATGACATTTAGAGGTCAAACAAACAATTTTTGAGTATCAATTTATTACATTTATGCTTTATATCTAACATAAATAGAAGCTTTTCGTCTATCTTGCATTGTTTGGCTCGTAATTGGTATTTCTAGTACTTCTCTTTGCAACTCACGCGAACGTTTCCCCAAGTTATTACTTAATGAGACATGACTTGTTCATGTATATAACTCCTACATTATCACATTATTCATTTTTTTAAATGGAAAACTTCTAATGATTGACGTATAGAAGGACCAAATTCTAAACTAAACATGACCATAAACAGTGCCCCAGATATTGATTTAGCGTCATGCATGCAGTTGCATTGTAGAATTCTTTACTATAATTACTAGTAATGACTGCTGGGAGTTTTTTGTTTAATCCAGGTTAAATATTTTTAACTTCATTACTTTGTTCATCACAGCCTTGTTGACTGTCAGCGATGATGAATTTTGGGAGGGGGTCTCTCCTGTCGAATTTGGGTCTTTGCCTGCACTACAAGATGCTGTTACTGTTGTTGGTTACCCGATTGGAGGAGACACAATCTCTGTGACTAGTGGTGTTGTTTCACGTATGGAGATTTTGTCATATGTCCATGGCTCCACTGAGCTTCTGGGCCTACAGGTTTTTAAACTTAAAAACTGGAGTTCTGTTTTTTCCCCCAACTGCTATGATAATCTTCTTCTGTATTTCATTTTTTTTTCTGTATGACCAAGTTTTTGTTTACAGATTGATGCTGCTATAAACTCTGGGAATTCTGGTGGCCCTGCTTTTAATGATAAAGGAAAATGCGTTGGTATAGCATTTCAGTCCCTAAAACATGAAGATGTGGAAAATATAGGCTATGTCATACCCACACCGGTCATTACACACTTCATTCATGACTATGAAAAGTCAGGGGAATATACAGGTATGATGGGGTAGTGTTATTACTTCCTTGAGTTGTTTCCTTATTTTTTTAGTATTATTAGCACTGTTGTTCAGTTATGATGTTTATATATTCATTGGTAGTGTAGACTTTTCCAAAACCACATATAACTCCATGCCGAACATTAGTCATGAGGTTGTAGATGAAGATTCAGTGTATCAATTCTTTTATTTTGGATAAGTGTCATTTGTAAGAGTCGGCAAGGCACTGCTTATTCGGGAAAGCCATAGAAGAGTTGGATTTCTCCCTCTTGGATGAGAGAAATTCATGCCAGCTTAATCGTGTATTTCAGTTTTTAAGTTTTTTGTGTTGAAATAGAGATATCTTACTCATACGCCAGAACGAGAAAAAACTGAAGCTTTTATATCTTACTTGATTTTTCATTCCTTTCTTTTGTCCTCTTACAAACAGCCCAGCTTTGAATTATACTAGGATATTCTTGATATAAAAGCTTGTCCAAACTTGATTACTGTTGAGTTCAAACTTTTGATTGTTTTCTCCTCTCCTGTCGTTCCTTGGCTGTTTTCTCTTTTATCTTGACAACTGTTAGTTTTTTTTCCTCTAATATTTTCTGTGGAAACCGTTGATTATTTATTTAGAACAATAATACTGGCCCTAAGACACGGTTTTGTGTTATTAAGAAGAGAAAAGTGCTTACAACTTTGTCAATTATAAACTTTTGGTTGGTTTTATCAGACTAATAATCTATTGATATATGCTTGATTTTAAATTAGATTTTCTCCACACGATCTTATTTCTTTCGAAGATCTTTTTCCTACTTTGTCTGAAATCTAATTGCAATCCCGTAAATGTTAAAAAACATATTCTAAAGAACATGGTAATGGGAAGATACGTAAGGGTGGCATCAGCAACAGTGTTGCTCTCTTGAGGATAGTACTTGGTTGTATAAAAATATGTGGTGAGGTTGGGTTTCCTGCATGCAAACTTGCTTTCAGGTTTCAGTGGTGAGCTTTTCTCTTGCCTATAGTATTGTAGCCAGGACCAAATTAGAGTTTGACATCTGGCTTACCATCAATTGTAAAGTTGGGAGTTTTTTGTGTCTGTCTGCCGACTTAACTGAGAGTTATGCTTCATCTTTTTTCTCCATTTTTCTGTAAAAGACAGGTGAATACTAATGTACAAGAATTTTAACATATACCAATTTTTTTCTTGTTATCTGGGGGTATTGAGCATAATTTTTTTTGGATTTGGCGCTTTATTGCCATTTAATATTTTAAATAACTTAAACAGTAGTTCATTTCTCAGGTTTCCCTATACTTGGGATTGAGTGGCAAAAAATGGAAAATCCTGATTTGCGCAAGGCTATGGGGATGGCGCCCGAACAGAAAGGTGTTCGCATTAGGAGAATAGAGCCTACTGCTCCAGAATTTCAATTTTTGAAGCCATCTGATATCATTCTGAGCTTCGACGGAATTGATATAGCTAATGATGGAACTGGTGAGTTGTTGCATCCATGATTAAAGTGGAACCTCAAATATTTTCACTTTTTTTTAATCTTACTCCTAATTGCAAAGTGTTTTTATTCCTTAACGTAAAGTTATATGATATGCTATCATTGCCCATTCTGCTCATGGGAGTTCATGGAGTGTCAAATGTGTTTTTTCGGTACAAACCTGTTGTAGTCTGGAACTTTATGATGCATTCTGTCCGTATTTGAAACTTTAGCTTAATCGTGCTTTATCGGTGAGGAGGCGGCGTAGGAATTGTTTCAGGTAAGGATCTTTTTCCTTTAAAGCACCCTAAAAATAAGGTCATCATACAGTAACCACCTTTATTTTTCAATTTATATGTAAACCGCCTTTAAAGTGGGTTTTGGTTCCAATCAACCACCTCCCAGTGAAGTTTTCACTAAAAAACAAAAAATAACCTTAAAAATGCATGTTTAATATATGCGACTTGTATTCTAACTAGACCTAAACATTAATAAAGTGAGTCGCGTGTCTTGAATGTGAGTTTTTAAAGGGTGTCCAGTGTTATCGAGGCGCGCGCCTGGGGCGCCCTAGGCGCGAGGCGATGCGGCTTGCAGCAAACACGCCCCGCACCAGAGGCGGGGCGTTGCAGGCTCGCGAGGCGTGCCCGTCGGGTGCACCGAATGGTTGCGCCTGGTGCGGAGGCTGCTCCTGAAGCAAGTTTCGGGTTAAATGGTTTTCGGGTCTGCATGTTATCCTCAAATCCCCTTATGTTTTAGGGTTTACAGTGGTTCTCCAGTTTTTATCTTTTCTTGTTTTCTTTATGACTGTCTTACAGTGGCTTCTTTTTTTCTTGTTTTCTTCTTTTTTTTAGTTTTCTTCTTTTCTTGTTTTCTTTTTTTCAGTGGCTTCATTTTTTGATTGTCTCACAGCCACCTCCACAGTGGCTTTTTTTCCACTTTTCTTCTTTTTCATTTTTTTCTATGTTTTCCTTTTTTGTGCTGTTTACATTATTGTTGCTATTTACTAATTGTTACATTCTTCTCTAATTAGCATGCTAACTAATAAATTATGAACATGTAATTATTTAATTGTTAATCACTTAATTGTTAATCACTTAATTATGAACATGTAAATTATGAACATGGTTAGACACTCTGTTATTTTGCTACTTTCTTATGTTGTTTCGTAGACTTTTGCTCATGTTGGATATTATCTTGCATTGTGATTTGTGGAAACTTATGAACTTCTCTATGTTATGCATGCTAATTAAGACTCTTTCGTGATTTAGTAGGTGAAATTATATTTCTTAGTCTTTTTATGTGATACTTTATAAACATGTTGTTTATATGCTTCTTTGTCTTATGTTGGAAAATATTAGTTTGAGTTATGCGCCTCAATTCAGTGAGGCGCGCGCCTCGTTGTGCGCCTTGCGCATGGTGCGTGTAAGGGACCTTTGCGCCCTGCATTGCGCCTTGCACCTCGATAACACTGGTGTTTTTGGGTTTTAAGTGAAATTTTTGACTGGAAGGTGGTTGATTGGAGCAAAAATTCACTTTAAAGATGGTTTACGTATATATTAAAGATGAAAGGTGGTTTATAATGACCCAATTTTTAAGGTGGTTTCTAGGGGAGGAAAAAAACTTCAGTTTAGGATCTGTCTATGTAGTCATGATTGCGAAAATTTTGAATTAATCCAATTTATTCTCTCGAGAGTTCTGATATTAGATTCATGTTTGGTAATATCCGTCTAGCTATTTTTAATCTATGTCTTTCGGAAGTAGAGACAGGTAGTATGTGAACGAAGGCTAAATTGCAGAGGACTACCATGAACTTTCTTGATTTCCCAATAACTACAAGATTTTTAAATTATAGTGGACTACCTTGAACTTTCCCTTAAAATTTCAGTAAATTATCCTTATATGGTCCCTGGTCCCATTGGTGAATGCATCATTGAGATACAGTTCATAATTTATGGATAACGAGTCATGTGTTTTGCATGTGCAGCTTATATAAACTTCTAAGATGGTCCAGATGGTAATGATCACATGATTTTAATGCCATTATTGAAGTTCTCTAAAAATTAGAACTAAAAACTAGGAAAAGTTCATGGTAATTGTGTAATTTAGCATCTCAATAATGATTAGAATCATGTGTAATCTTTTTATCACAAGACTATCTCTAGGTAAAGGATTAATTTTCAGTATCCTTCATATGTTTCCGTTAGTGAATGCACCACGCGAGATGCACTTCATAATTTATGGATAAAATTGCTTATAACGTGTCATGTGTTTTTCATGAGTAGCTTATATGAAATTCTAAGATGGGCAAGATGATAATGGTCACATGCTATAAATGCCATTATGAAGTTCTCTAAAGATTAGAATGAACAAATGGGAAAAGTTCATGGCAATTTTGTGTAATTTAGCATTTGATCGACTGTTAGAATCATATGTAACCTTTATATCACAAGACTATCTCTAGGTAAAGAATTATTTCAGCTGGAGGCATTCATCTCTAGGTCTGTGTTGATAATTGAATTGTCTGACCAACACAGCATAAAAAAGATAACTTTTCCATTTGCATTTTGTGAATCTTAGCTTTCCTTCTATATCAGAAAAGTAGAAATATTACTTCCTCGGTGTTACCTGCCTGGGCTTAGATTGTCTTTTGCAAAGACAGTCTTCCTTTTCCATTTTTCCTACTCCGTCTAACTTCTCTTTCTTAGGGATTGGGCTAATCGAAATGCCTACATACGCATAAAAGTGAAAAATGAGGAGTTAAAACCTAAATAAAGTATGTAAGATAAATTCATTATTTTGAAATTCATTATTTTGATCTTTTACATATGACGAAACATGAACTCTGTGCACATAGGTTAGGAACTTTAGCCCTCCCTTGCTAATTGTTCTTTTAAATGAAGTTGCATCTGGATGCTTGCTACCCCTTGTTATGCACCTGGAACCTAAGCACTTAAGAAAACTTTTATTCTCTGAGCATTATCAATCGAGATTCCTAACTACGGGTTGTTACTTCCTTTACGCTTATAGTCAATAAACCGGTTCAATTTCTTTTATGGATATGGTCCCAAACAGGCTATTTCTTTGCCTTTTATTATGCATAACAAAATTTCCTGTGTCTGGTTAGATGAAAATAACTTTGTTAGTGGTTCATTTTAAATGTACCAGTTAGATACTAAATATCACAGTATTTACTTTTCTAGTTTGATTATTGCACTGGGTTTACAGATTCTAATGTCATATCCCTAAGTAGCAATTTTTGTAGCATATTTCACATGTTTATCTAAAGAGCATAGTTTATCTTCTGGTGTTTTAGTTCCTTTCAGGCATGGAGAACGCATTGGTTTTAGTTACCTTGTTTCTCAGAAGTACACTGGGGAGAATGCTGTTCTTAAAGTTCTACGCAAATCAAAAGTCCTTGAATTTAGTGTAAAACTAGCAAGTCACAAGAGGTTGATTCCGGCTCACATCAGAGGGAGGCCTCCGTCATATTACATAGTTGCTGGCTTTGTTTTTACAGCTATATCTGTACCATATCTCCGCTCTGAGGTATACATCTAAATCTCCATTGTGAAATGGGTGACTTTCATATTGTTTCACTCATCATAGTTCATAAATAGAGGAGAGAGGGAAAAGTGTGATATTGCTTGTACACTTGCTGCTTAGGCTTCTGATTTTTTTTAGTACCTATACAAAATGTCTGCAAAAATGAATTCATAGTAACCTTCATGCAGCCTTGTCATCTTACTTTTTTTTTGTTTAAATATTTACAGTATGGAAAAGATTATGAGTATGAAGCACCTGTAAAGTTGTTGGAAAAGCATTTGCATTCAATGGCACAGACACCTGATGAGCAACTTGTCGTGGTTTCCCAGGTTTTGTTTCTTTTAGTTTTATTCTAATGGAGCACAGACACCTGATGAGCAACTTGTCGTGGTTTCCCAGGTTTTGTTTCTTTTAGTTTTATTCTAATGGAGCAGAAACTTCACTTTTCCAGTCTTGCGTGGTTTCCCAGGTTTTGTTTCTTTTAGTTTTATTCTAATGGAGCAGAAACTTCACTTTTCCAGTCTTGCGACAACAATCTCTTCTGTCCAATAACTCTAGGTTTTTCCGAGTGCTGAGATTGTTTCTTAAACTTCTGCAGGTGCTTGTGTCAGATATTAATATCGGTTATGAAGAGATTGTTAATACTCAGGTAATAACTGGTCTTGGAATCAATTGCCAATAACGGGTGATGGTTAGTTAAGAATGCTGAGTTTGGTCATATATGCTTTTGTACTATACAATGTGCATGCTTGTAATTAGACATTCATGATGAGTTCCAGTGTGCACCATGGCTTACACGGAAATTTCTGGTTAACTCTTGGCAACCTCTTTGATGTATTACAGGTTCTTGCTTTTAATGGTAAGCCAGTCAAGAATCTGAAAGAGTTGGCATCTATGGTAGAAAGCTGCAAAGAGGAGTTTTTGCAGTTTGATTTGGAGTATCAGCAGGTATATATGCCTCTACCTGCTATGTAATACTTCCGCACATCAAAGTTGGTAGGAATTTGGCATAAGATGCTATAGTTATATGTCACTTAAAGAAATATCATTCTCTAAGTTAGAAATTCTCACTCTTGCTTGCTATAATTTTTTCCCTTGCTTTTCTGTGAGTGGTATCATTCAGAAGATGTTGTCGTGGATGTTCCTGATCTCTCTTACCCATCTCAACGCTTAATAATGCATAAAGAGCTGGTAGCTTAGTTTCACGAGGAAATGGTTCTTATTGTTGCTTTTCTTGTTTATGTGATTGAATAGGCCCAAAACTTTATAATTAGTGAAGATCCGGAAGCTTATGAATTTCTAAGAAAGCCTGAAGCAATGCTCGCCCAAATTTGTCCTCTTGCTAATGCTAACATTCCTGGTTGTTTCATGTACAGATAGTTGTTCTAGAAACGAAGACTGCCAAAGCTGCGACACCTGATATTCTAACTACACACTGCATACCATCAGCTATGTCAGACGATTTAAAAGTTTGAAGCTTGCCTTGCCTTCACATTTGTTGAAGTTTGCTCCCGTTATATACAGTTGGCAACTGGCAATCATAGCTTTTGTAAACCAACATATTTTGTGTTGCTAGATGGAGAATATGCGTTA